AGATTTTTTTTTGAATTGCTGAATAAATATTATAATGAAAAAGGTGGATTAAATAAAAGGTTGATTAAAAGGTTAATTTAACTTAAAAAAAATAGTTAATTTTATAAAAAAGTTGATTGAGATTAATTAACGTTAAAACTGATTATGGGAGTTAATTAGGGCACATGGATTGAGTGTGTGCAGGTGTATAGTAGAGGGCATGGGCGAGCAGATATGGGGCGTGAGATCGCGACTGAAGTGCAGCGAAGGGTGATATGTGTGAGGGTGTACGATAGTGGCGTGGGTGAGCATATACATGGTTATTACAACATAAACAGAAAAATAGAAAAAAAAAAACAAAACCCTAATGCTCCCAAATTGCCCTCAATCTCTCGATCCCTCCCGTCATCTTTGTCTACTCACAAACTCTTTCTCCATTTTCTCTATTCTTCTCATCTTCTTCCTCGTTCTCCTGTTCTCCATCGATTTCGCTTCACCGTTCTTCATCCCTTCTCCGATTCTGATTCATCTACCTCTCCACCTTTCTTCTGCAAAGCAAATAAAAGTAAAGCACACCACAAGCAGAGCAGCAACAGAATCCCCAGAATCAAAATGAAAAAAAAAACAGATAGCAAACATCAATAAGGGAGTTGTCGCGAACGACATTCTGAATCGGGAGTGGAACCCACCTATGGCGGACGTACGATGGAGGCGGAGGCAACCACGATCAAACAGAGGTTACGGAGGACAACCTTTCGTCAGATAAGTTTCTTTCTCGTCTCTTCGAGTGTGTGAACTGTGATGTGCTTTTACGGATGTTGTCTCTTTTTTCTCTTAGGTTCCTCCCTCTCAAGGCTGCGAATTCACATCCTTTTATAAGCTTCAAAAGATATCCTCCATGTTTAAACTCTGATTGAATGCCATGATTGTTGTATTTAGACCTTCTGTTTTGGATTAGACAATATTTGAAAACTTTCCTTTCTTGTCTGATTACGTTGATACCTGTTAATGAAAAAAAATCCCATTCTATGTGATTTTGTACTAATCACGTTAAATGCTTTGATTGTCTAGATTCATTGTTTTGAGACAAACGAAAAAACTACTAGCTGTCTTGAATTGGATCTCTTTCTCAAACAGGTATATTCCTTAATTGATTACTAACTCTGAATTGTTATTTGGCAGGGGTGAATAACAGTTGATTTGGGCCAAGGGAAACTAGCAGCCCAAAGTAATAAACATGAATCTGATACAGAATTGAAGTCTGGTGGTCTATTGAGTAATAAGGATGGGGGCTAAAATGGAAGTCACCTAATGCGTTATTCGATATCTGATTTCACCATGGGCATATATGGTTTTGCATACTTCCAACTGATAGGTAATTTTATCTCATCTTTTTACAGTTAAAATCTTTTCCCATGAGAAGAGGTATTGGTTCCCTCTCAAGTTTCCCTAGATCTTTAAAAGAGATTTCATGCTTTTGCTCATAATGCAGAAATCCACGAGTTACAACATTCTTGTCTAGGTAACGGAGGAACATAAAAGACAACAAATGATCACTGATGCATGAGCTTGATTCAAGCAAACTGTATCTGGTATCATTTTCTACTTCATTAAAGAGAGGCCCAAGAATGTTATCATCATTGACAGAGGCACATCTTCAGTTTGGTAGAGTGTTTAGTGGATGTCCATGGCGTAATCAACCATGTTGTGTTGTTTAACTTAGTTTTCCTTTTGATTTTCTGTAGTTTAGGCCCAATGTCACAAGTTGTAACTATCATATGAAGAAGGTAGTGGACTGGTTGTTGTTCTTTGAATATTCCACTGATACACTTAATTTCTTTGCAGATTTATCTAGGTGGCCAGTCATGATCTTTGAAGTTTGCGGAAGAAGGTGTCCTAGTCAACACTATCTTTCAAACTGATAATTTCCATGAAATGTATAGTGTCTACCAACTCACTGTTATCTATAAGCTTTGAAGTGTTCAAACTACGAGGAGGTGTGGAACTCAGTAGCCACTGGTAATCTAGAAGCAGAGACTTGGGAATGGAGGTAATGTTACATAACTCTTCTGTTTTGCTCAACTTCAAGCCAGAGACTAGCTCGGGGATAAGATAGCCCATGCCCCAAGAATCAACGGCTCATGGAGGAGACTTCTTAATTACACCCCAGTCAGATTTTGCCAGCTCTATCGTTTTGTATTGAGTTGCAACAAGCCACACATATTGCAGCACTTGGAGAGATGGTTCTATTTTATGAGGTTATGTTGGAGCAACTTGCTTGCGACGGTGCTGTCGAATGCATGAAGGCTGTCACGTTATCCACAGTCCAACAATATCAATGTAGCATAAGTGATTTTGTCAATAATATAACTGATATGAATTTTTAAGTAATGGAGCGGCCCTTTGCAATGTTGTATAACTTATATTTCTTGCATTTGAGTAGGCGATACTTTGTAACAACTTCCCAAATTGAATAGCAAAGTATATAAACTTCAAATTGGCCTTATGATGGATTTTATTTTGTGTATTTCTAGAATTAGATCCTCCACAAACTTTGAGTTCAAATATTGGAATGTGTTTAAACGAAGTTGAAAATCCTCCTAGGCTCCATTCAGCATGTACGCAGGAACCAATACCAGAATGAAAATGAAGTCCGGTTTGCTGCACCAACTTAATGAACTCAAAATAGCCTTTGAGTCTTGAACTTATAAGCAGTAAAAAATCCCAAAAAGGTCTACTTGTTTGAGGATCTTGTTAGGCCCAAACCATTCCTTTGGAAAATGCATCTTGGACATAAGCCTCGGGTTTAAACTTTGTCGCTTCAAAACTTCCTTATAAAATAATGACCTACGCCTTTGACATATTTATTTGTGAGTATAAAAGTTATTTCCACTTGTAATTACTGCAGCTGCACATACTAGTTAGTCATAATAAACATGCGTACAAGGGAATAAAAATAAAACCAGCAAGGAAAGAAAGAGAATACAATGAGGTGGGATTTTAAGGTCAAAAATTAGGGTGCGGCATGTATGAACGACTTTTTTAGAATGTGATAAAATTCACAAATATAAATAGAAAATTATACCTTTCATAAGTAGAAAAGATTTACAATAATAGAGTTTTACGCAATTAGAACAATACAAAACTTTATACCACAAAACTCTTCAACGTAAGAAATCTCTCTTAAATTTTATGCGTTACAAGGAAAATGATCTCTATATATAAATACAATGATCCAACCACAAAGCCCAATATAATAAACATAAAATAAGACTAAACCCAATCTCCTAGAAAAAACTTAATATTTTAATCAATTGAAATCCAATTAAATAATTCAAAGCAATTTTGTTAAATCATACTTATCTGAACAAAATCTTTGCATAACAACCCGAATTGTTTTATCCAAATAACCCAACTTTTCAAAAAAAATCTCAAAATAACCCATCTTTCAAAATTATTCCCAAAGTACCCCAGTTAGGGTTTAGGATTACACAAGGGTGGCAGATGGGTTGGCGACACCTTGTTAAGGCTATAAGGGAGTCGCCAATTGGGTTGAAGACTCCTCATGCAGTCTCCAATCTAATTGGTGACATGATGTTGAACTTACAAGGGTGTCGTCAATTCATCTAGATACCCCTTGTATTTTGATTTTTTTTTATAAATAGAGGTGTTCTGATCATTTACTTCCACATTTCATTTGATATCTTTGTTCTGCTAATAACATGTATCGTCGTCGGTGGGAAAAAGTCGTCTATTTGAGAGAGAAGCTTCCGATGGACATGTTGTTTTGGAACATACAAAGTTTCAATCAATTTAAGGAGCTGAATCGGTGGTTGGAAGGAGACATTGGTGAAGGGAAAAAGAGTTGTAGTATCGAGAGACTTGATCAGCTGCGTGGATGGGTTCCTGTTAAGACAAACAAAGATGCGAGGGAAGTCATGTTTGGACTGAATGAAATTAGTTTGATTGTTGTAATCAGTTAGGAATGCCATAATCACCTAGTTAATGTTTTATGAAATTAGTATGTGTTGTGTGTTGTTAGTCTTGTTTGTTGTTAAGACCGTTATAACAAAGACTCACCAATATATGAAACACCTACATGAAGTCAGACGGGAAGATGCTGCTGTTTGGACTGCATACGTCCCGATCATCACCAAGTCGCCAATTGGATTGGAGACTGCATGAGGAGTCTCCAATCCACTTGGTGACTCCCTTATAGGCTTAACAAGTTGTCGTCAATCCATCTGACACTCTTTTGTAATCCCAAACTCTAACTAGAGTACTTTGGAAATAATTTTAAAATGTGAGTTATTTTGAGATTTTTTTTGAAAAGATGGATTATTTGGATAAAAAATCTAACAATTCAGGAGAATTACGAATGAATTAAAAATAAAATAAGTATTTTGATACAAATATTAATTTAAATGAGCAAAAATAAGTCTTTAAAAAAAAAAAAATTAAGCGATATCTTCCAAAACATGTTTCCTACAAATATATGTGAATTCAACTGTGATAACAGAAAAGTTCCGACTATGGCATAGTTAATATTAATTGAGAAGTGTTTGAACACACAATTGAACACTCTAAAAACTAAGATTTTTTATTATGATTGTGATTTGTGTTTCTAAAATTCTAATATTTAGTGAGAAGTAATGAACGAACATAGTGGAAGTGGTCTGATGCGCAATTGCAACCAGATAAATTTTCAGAGAATTTCACATCATCAATATTGGCAGTTGTTGCATTGCACGAACTTTATAAACTATCTGATGTGTTGCGATTTGCCACTCTTTACATAATTAAATAAAAAAAAATCCAAGAAGATAACAAATATATTAACTTTATAAAATTATTTCATGTACGGATTATAACAACAGTCCAGATTTATTTATTCTGCTCTATAATAATTTCTTATTGCTTATACATTTTTTATTATGCTTATACATAATAAGCTGAATTTATTATTTTTCAATGCAAATTAAATGAGCTTATTTAAGGATTCCATTGTGACTTGCACTAGTTTATATCTTAGATTCAACAAGTCGTTTGATATCAGTTGGATAGGTTGTGTCTGGACTAGAAGTGCTATCATATGAAATTGCTGCAGTGTTGTAACTATAAGCGGACGTAGGATGAATTCCATCATAAAAAACATAGTTATCTCTATTCGAACATGGTATTGAATCACGAATACACATCCCATCTGGCATTGTTGGACAACAAGGAGCCTTTGTAACTGTAAAATCTGAAAAAGAAAAGATTTATTATAACTAAGAATCGAAATCAAGACAAATTCAAAAGCCATATTATTATCCTAGAAAATGAATATATAATAATTGAAATGTTTACCTGATGTGCTTTGTACTGGGCCGGCAGTACTATTAACAAAGATAGATTTGGAATCGTGAAGTTCGGCATTGAATTTATCCACTAGAGATTTAAGCTTCTGACTAAATATTAATGCATCAGCATTATAACTTTCAATACATGATCCATTATTCCCATTCACAGTATTGATATATGGAAGGCAACCTAATAGGCCTAACCCAACTAGTACGAATTTTCTTGCACCAGTAATATACAAATCCTGTTAACCAAAAATACCAATTTGTATATTTAAGAAACATTTTTTATATAACTATAAAGTATTAAATCGTCGTTACCAATTTTAATCATGTTTCACACTATTCTTTATTTTCTTTTTCTGTTAGCCGATATACCTTTAAATCAAGGGAATATTGGTTGATAAGAACTTCAGCATACTGTTCAGGATTATAAATGCGACTTGTTGGGTATATTTCGGGCAAGAAATAATTGTTTAGGTAATCGTTGCTGCCAATATTCACATAATATAAGCACTTCTTCAGATAGTTTTTAGCTTCAAACGCGCCTCCAAGCTTCTTGGCTATTTTGGAAACTATGGTCTTGTGATTTTTTATCTGTTGTCCCAAGGGGATTCTATCACCCTGCATATATTGTGTAACACTAATTAACCAAAAATTTAGAATAATTAAATATAAAAAAACGAGATTTAATGAATAATAGATTCTATACCAATTGTTGGCTAGACTCATGGCGAATTCCACCAGAACCAGATGCATAGTTTACACCCAAAAGTATGTCTGAGCCACTTGTGTTTGCAAAAGGTGGGATGAACTCCTTGAATCCAAGAAATTCGACTACAATGAAACATTAATTTTTATAATTGTGACTAGCAAGTACAAAGAAAAACAACACAGTTGTTGGTGTTAATGGTGTGGTTAATATTACCTGTAAAATCAATTACTGTTTTTCCATTGGTAAATCGTCCCGTTGAACCAGTTGGAAAGTCGATGCCATATGGATTGTAATTAGCTTTTGCTTCAGTTTCAAGATTGTTGTTGTTTCCATTGTCATTGAAGGAGTCGCTAAATATGTAAACACAAGGCACTTGACGCGTTTTTTCGTGGGCACAAGAACATTGCATATAGCATTCAGCTAAGAGAAAAAGATGAAAAATCAACCATTTTTCAATCTCACAAGCCATATTATTAGAAAATGGAAATGATAATTTATATTGTATATTATTAATGTGTATATGAATAAGAAGATGGAAGGTGTATATATAGGTGTGCGTCGCCAAAATTGTCAAATCAAATTATTAATGAAGGATCGATGACGGGTTTGGCAAGTAATGAAATCTGAAAGTCCAGAATTGATTTAAATTTTGAACCTGGGATCTTGAAATATTAAAAAACTTATTTACGGTACCAACCAAAGAAAAATAAGTAACTCCCTTAACTTTTAAATCACGTTACAAGTTTGCATGTATTTTTTTAGTGAAAGAAAGCCGTAGTGGATTGATTGAGAGGGAATTGAGTTTAGTCACTTCTTTGGAATTAGATTTGGTTAACTTTTGTCAACTTATAGACACGTTAATGAGAATGATTTTTCCATAAGTTTAAGATAAAATTGAAATGATTTTTAGGATTACATGTCTATGGTTCTCCTAAATATTTCAAATGTTTTATTCTTTCAAAAAAATTTTTCCAAAGAATATTTTTTCTTAAATTGTTCATCCAAGGTTTTTGTCCCTCATGCTATTTTGCAATATATTTTACAATTTAATGACTGAATTATCGACGATTTATTATTTAACAATTGAATTAAAGACATTTTTAACAAAAGTTTTAGCAACAGTTTTAATATCAGAGAACATAAGTACCAATGAAAAATTTTAAGAAAAACATTATTTGAAAGAAATAATTCACTATTAGAAATACGCAGACTACCTGCGGACTTTTCTGCGGAAAGAGTTCCGCAGCAAAACCTGCGACTTCACCTGCGCCTTATATTGTGAAACATAATTTTATGTGGAAATTAACTTAGCAGCAAATTTCGCAGAAATTTCTGAGACTTTAGCTGCGATTTTAAATTTAAATGTAAAATATAAATTTCCTGCGGATTTAACTGCAATAATTTTCGCAGGAATTAGTTATCCATTGAAACCACAAAATTCTCTGGAAATATCGCAGGAATTGCTGCGAAGTTTGCTGCAGGATTTGCTGTAAAAGTTTCTGCAACTTTGTTGCGTATTTTTTGGTTTATTTTTATTTTTTATTTTTTATTATATTTTTACTATTAATAAATAAAATTATAAAACACATATTGATTCTAAGAATATGTTGTTGAGACATTTCTTAATTTTATATTAAATCTTAGTTTTTCTTAAGAAAGTTTAATAATATTAATTTAGTTTTTTTTAGTATTTTTTTACAAAAAATTTATTTATTTAATACTTTTTTATTGTTGTAAAAATTAAAAAAATCAAAAATATAAGTTTATGATATAATTGTAAAATATAAGTTTATTTATTTAATAATTTTTTATTGTTATAAAAATTTTAAAAAAATAAAAAAATATAAGTTTATGATATAGTTGTAAAAATATAAGTTTATGATATAATTGTAAAAATATAAGTTTATTTATTTAATTATATTTTTACTATTATTAAATAAAATTATAAAATATAATTGACATATTGGTTTTTTAGATTCATATATATAATATAAAAACAAACCTATTTTAAAATAATTTTCACAACAATTTTTTTTTCTTTATTGATTAATAATAGTTTTTGTTTAAATTATTTACGGTACCAACCAAAGAAAAATAAGTAACTCCCTTAACTTTTAAATCAAGTTACAAGTTTGCATGTATTTTTTTGTAGTGAAAGAAAGCCGTAGTGGATTGATTGAGAGGGAATTGAGTTTAGTCACTTCTTTGGAATTAGATTTGGTTAACTTTTGTCAACTTATAGACACGTTAATGAGAATGATTTTCCATAAGTTTAAGATAAATTGAAATGATTTTTAGGATTAAATATGTCTATGGTTTTCCTAAATATTTCAAATGTTTTATTCTCTCAAAATTTTTTTTTTCATTTTTTAAATTGTTCATCCACGGTTTTTGTCCCTCGTGCTATTTAGTAATATATTTTACAATTGAATTAGTGACAGTTTTAACAACAGTTTTAACAACAGTTTTAGCGACAGTTTTAATATCAGAGAACAAAAGTATAGATGAAAATTTTTAAGAGAAATATTATTTGAAAGAAATATTTTGAAGAAATTAAAAACAAAATTTGAAATATTTAAACAAATATAAAATAAAATAGTGTATGTTTTTAATTGCACTCGAATTCCATTTAGGTTTCAATTGCACTCAATCTTCATTTAGTATTCTCGTTAGGATGTTGTAGTTGATAGTTTTTTTTAACACAAGATGTCAAATCATTTGTATATATTTTGAGGGAGTTACGACTTCAGGATGCATATCATTCTTAGTGAATAAAAGATAAGAGAAGTAGTTAGAAAAATCAGTTCACCAGAGAAATCTCCTCGTGAAAGTGTTTCAGCTTAACAAGTGTAATATAAAAATAAGGTGATAAAAAAAACATCATTGCTTAAATGTTTCTTATTTTATGGTGACAAAATTTCTTATGTCGGTAATTTTTAGGTCGGGCTCGGACCCGACTTAAAAATTTATTTTTAATCGACTTAAAAAGTCATTTTTTCACTGGTGAAAGATAATATGTTCATACGCAACCGCTTGGCTGTTGGAGGTATCCTCTACTAAAGGGAAAATTATGATATGGAACATTATAATAGATTACCACCGTAGATCATGAAAATTTTACCTGATACCTCAATAATTATTCATGTATCTCTAAGATTCACTTAATTTGACTAAAATATTTTTAAATAAATAGTTTATGTTTGAAGAAAAAGATAAAAAATAAATTCATTTCGGATAATTTTTTATAAGTTATTCGAGATGTAACAAAATAAGTTTATGAACCATATTAAAACTGTTGTCTAAAGCCAACTACACTTCTTTTAGCAAAACAGTTAAACCGTTGTCTAAAGTAACAAATTTGAATCGGAAAACAATAATTAAGTCATGCATAAAGCAATACAAGTTTAGAAAATACAAGAAAACTGTGAACTAATTTACAAACTACACCACTTTAGTCACGATTTTAAAACCTTGTCTGAAGTCAAAAAAAATTTTAAAAAATTAAACCATCGAAACATTTTGATTAAGTTGTCCGGTTGGCAATTTGAAATCTACCGGAACAATTTAATCAAGTTATCAGATGAACAATTCAAAAACTACTGGAATACTTAATTAAGTTATCTGCTACATTAAAAATTAAAAGTTTAATTTTCGAAACTTTTTCAAATGTTTCGGTACTTTAAAAAATTAAAAATTTGTCTATCAAAATTATTTTGACAAATGTTCCGATACATTAAAAATAAAATATTTATCTACCAAAACTTTTTTGCCAAATGCTTCGGTAAACTAATGTAGGGGTACAAAAATATTTAATTTTAAAAAATTTAATAATAAATAAAAAGAGTATAGTTAGAATGTTTTGATAAATGTTAGGTATTGGGATTAATGATAGGAGTATAGGATGTAATTTTCTAGATTATTAGTTTTAGAATGGTCCATACAATTTTTCTTTCGGAGGGATCCATATAGTTTAAGACTTTTTTTTCTTTGGAAAATGAGTTTTTAATATTGTGGGCTATGGGTGTGAGTTGGAGACTCATTTGATGCAGTAACTTGTGAATTTTAATTTATCGGTTTTTATATTAGTATTTTTATCAATCTAATTGCACTTAAATAAAAGAATTTTATAAGTAACATAATTAATTTTCAGAATTTTCTCAATGACTTCAAAGTATCGGACTAGATGTCAATACATGATTCTTATCTTTCAAACTATATAAGTACATAGATTCAGCTTCAACCATAACTCCACTATTTTGCAGAGTACTATGATCATCATTTGATTTTGTATATAATAAATATTTAGTAACGTCGTATGCACTCCAAGTTATTACATCAAACTTACGCATCACCGCGCCATATAATACCTAAGACAACGCTTTTTTTGGGCTTTAGCCGCGCTTAAAAGCGCTTCTGGGTACCTCTCTGCCACTTGAAGAGACCTTGAGCAGAAAACGCAGCGTGAAAGCCAAAGGGCCAGGAAGACAACTTGTTCTTAGTCAGAGACTTCTTTGGTTTCTTTGTCATGGTAGTTTGCTATGTAGGTGGCGAAAGCTGCTTTGTTGGTGTCGAAACATATGGAGTCATCTGCTAAAAGGATGGGATCATAATCCACTCCAATAGGTTTTAGGTTTGTAATGGCAGCGACATCGAACAAAGTTGGGGTAACCATCCCGCAATGAAGTTAGAAGTTATTGTGGGTGATGTCCCAAAAATAGAGGGAAGCAATAAGCATAGATGGGCAATAAATTGGCCCCACCTTCAACAGCTGAAACTTACAAAAAGTCACAAAAACCTAAAAACCTAAAAATCATTACATTAGAGAACTCACAAAAAGTCATATAGAGTATAACCTTTTATATTATTATAATTTTTTTTGGTACATATGGAGTTCTTGTTACGCATGACTAAAACATCACTGAAACCTAAAAATCCGAAGACCTAATGTTCTTCAAACTTTCATTTGGTTTACACTTGATCACCAATTTCTTCATCATCAAGATTCTGGCTCCATGTCCATCCTTTCTTCACCTTCAAGTAATCACCTCCATAGAATGTCTTGCTCATTCAAACAGTGCCCATCATCATCAAAATAACCTAAAACAAAAAAGAGATTATGATCAAAACCAATGTCATTCGTTAATCTCAAATGACATGAACATGGCGACACATTGCAGAAGCACCAAAGCCATCAAGGCAAAACAATTATGCATCAAATGTTTAATATAACACAAGGAGGAAAACATTACAAGGGCAAAGGACCATTTCATATTTCCAAATATTCATAAGGCAATAAAATAAGAAGATCAAGTCAGTAAAAAGTGAGTAGAAAAGAAAAATAGAACTTTGAGGGTCATGAATTTACTGTAGTAAAACAAGCCAAAACAACTTGAAACAAATTCAAAAAAAATTAACAAACTTACCAAGCACATGGTACGAATTTTCCTCCCTTCCACTATGATAGTGCTC